CAGTCAGCAGAGGAGGAATGTTGTGGGTGGTCAAGAATTATGTATAATGGTCTCGGCTACATTTATCCTTCTCAAAATAACTTTGCTCTTTGTGGATCAGCTGCTTGAAAACCATAATTGCTGCTCTCTGAGCCCTGTATAGCTGCTAGTGAAATGCGACCTTCTGGTGATGCAAGTGCATGCACGAGACGAAGCAAAGGTAAATCTGTGCTTGAACGGGCAGCAGGATGAACGAGGCATTTTTGGCAGCTCCCTCTGGGGAAGGATCTGCCGAGTGGTGCCCACGTTGCCAACACGCTCTGCAGCTGCCAACCACAGCAGGGCCGCGGTGATGGGGAGCAGCGGTGCAACACTCGGCTGTGATGCTGCTCCCGGGCCCCTGCTGAAGCCAGGCATCGGGAGCTCAGTATTTATTAAAAGAGATCCCAATCCAGAGGGCTCTCCCTGCTGCAGATCGCTCTTAGTGAGGAGCAGTGCCCAGTGTGGGATGTCACTATGGATAGAGCAGCAACAGCGGGCAGGATAGCAGTTATGCTGAAAGGATAAATTAGGCAGAAAATGATGACTTAGGGAGTTTTGGTGTGGGTAGTGCAGGAGTGATTAATGACCAAGGTAGCTCAAGTAATGCTTAGACAGGAGTACGACCAGCTGATATTGGCAGTCAGTAATGACACCTGGGTGACACCCTCCCGCAGGAGCCTCCGCAAACAGAAGTGCAGAGCAGTACGTTTTGCTGACTTTGTCTCCCATAATGTCCCCCAACCACCCCGTCCACGGTGCGTGGGGCCGCTTGGCGAGTGTCACCAGACGCAACACCCCGCGCACACCGCGGCGCCGGGACACGCGAGCAGCGCACGGCCCGGCTGCCCCTGCCCGGCGCACAGGGGCCTCTCAGAGCCAGGGAACATCTAACGGTGGCTGCAGACGGCAAAGCGTGAAGATAACTGGCAGGGCAGTCAAAGCTGAAAAAATGAGATCTCTGCAATTCTGAAATCCTTTTGATGAGGAGGAAAGGCAATTGAAAAGTTTTGTTGCACAGCCCTCGGGATCAGGTGATAACTTATTTAGCAGGCGCTTTGTTGCATTATGCAGCACACGGGCTCAGCAATTAGCTGGAAGCAAATATTCCTTTTCATTCTCCGTGAGCGTGCAGCTGGAGCAGCGTCTCACATTCAATGTTATCATTATCAGCTGCGAGCGCGGTCGAGGTTCAAGCCGTTTGCTTGCTGCAGACTCCCTCTGTTTTCAGGTATTCCTAATTTAGTTTCATTGCTGCCTTGGGAAGAATTAGACGATGGTTTATCCTCCTTCCAACCTGCCGAAATGAGCAACCATTGGACATGATCCGATATTCCTATGGCTTGAAGCACCAGCTGCAACCGGTGAGGAAAGTCCCCTTCTCTGCAAATCTTTACTTTTTTTCCACTGAGAGATGAGCTAGTGTGTCCAGCACACGAGGGTTTTGTCCCCTGCTTATCTCAAATGCCTCGTGGCAGGTCAGTGCAGCCCTGCAGGACCTTCCGCTGCCCATTGCTGGCCCGGCTGCAGTGTCCCTCTCCTGAGGGTCTTCCCTGCAGCAAAACCAGCCTGGCTTTGCCTCAGCCCTTCGATAAACCCGTGTAATGAAAGGTTGTTTTGCTCTTCCCATAGCTGTTATTGAATATTAACTTCTTTGGATGTGCAATTTCCTCACCCAGCCTGCAAGCGTGAGGACGGGACCCCAAGGCAATCTACCTCGTTAGAAACAAAACCCTGATCACGGTGCTGCAGCTCCCATGTCTCCAGGAGAGCGCAGCTGGGTGCAGGGTCAGGGCAGCACAAACAGAAAACACCTGTGACACCTTGTGACTTGCTGTTGAGAAAAGGCTTCATTTCTTCAGCCTCCTCTGAGAAGAAGGTGCTTTGGTGCTGCTCTCCTGTGGCTTGGCAGAACTCTTCAGCTTCCTCCTCCTCCAGCAAGGTAAGTTAAGGCAGGGTGCAGTTTTGGCAAGTTGCCCCCCATCTCTACAGCCTGTTGTGGTGACCAGTCCTGCTCTCCCCAAGGCGATGGCTCTGGCACCCCGGGCAGTCCCTTGGGATCCTTCCGTCTTTCCCTGGAGGCAGAGATGTGCGCTGGAGAGACCCTGCCTGCTCTGAGAACAGGCCCTTGCCTCTTTCTACATGAGATTGAGAATTTACAGCACTTATTTTGCTGTCATGTGAGAAAATGGCTTTTTGGTGCATGTGCATGGCTGCAAGGGCTGCTCCGTGTGCTGCTATGGGAAGGGAATGGGGCTTCTCCTGCCAGGGTAGGGAGCTCTGGTAATGGATACCAGCTTCCTCCAACTCCTTTTGTCTTCTTTAGAAAAGACTTAATTAAAAGAAGGGGAGCTGGGACTACGGCAGAGGGAACCTGCAATGTACCTGACTCCAAAGGTTTGCAAAATGGCTTTTCGGATCGCTGTGACGTTCTTTCAAATGTCATCAGCAATCCGCACGTGTTGCTGTTGCCTTGCCAGCACGGAGGCCCCTTGCGTGCGGCAGCCCCCGTGTCCTGCCCCAGGAAGGGTGTTAAATCAGCCACGCTCCCCTGGGCGATGGAGCTGGAAACTGTCCTTTCGCAGCAGCAAGAAATCTGCGTGCGGGGGAACGTTGCGTGGCCTGTGTGCGCCAGGGAAGAAATGCTCTCGGATGGGCCACAGGTCCCAGTTCACACGTGCGAGATGGAAACGGGGAGCGCAGAGAGCTGCGTGAGCAATGATAAATGTTCCGCTCAGAAAGGGCAGTTAATCCCAGGGGCCTCAGACGTTTTTCTTCTTTCGGAACAACACGAGGGGAAAATACCTGCCAACAGGTTCAGCTTCAAACCCGCAGAGCTCCAGCGCAAGCGAAAAGCCTGGTTCTGCTCACAGTAATTCCACTGGATAGTTCAAGCCCCACAGAAACGTTCCCCCTGAGCACGTGCTTTGCATCAAGGGTTTTGGATGTAAATCGGCGAGCGAGATAACCCAGAGCAGGGCAGCCCACGCAGGGAGGCCACGTGCAGGCCGGGGCAGTGCCAGAGAGATGCCGGAGCGGAGCGGCATCCCGGCGGGACCGCGGGGACGGCAGGGCGCGGGAGCAGCCCCGCTCCGGTGCGGGCGGGAGAGCCCGGCGGTTATCCCGCCTGCAGATAAGGGGCTGGGCGCGCTGCAGACGCTGTCCCGAAAGGGCGTCTTTGGTTGGTCTCGCAGAGCTGCAGCCGGGGTGGCCGGGACGCAGCCCGGGGCTGCCGGCGCTGTTTTCCTCAGCGCTGGCTCTGCCCGTGATTTCCCCCACTGGGGCCATAGGCAGCAGCGCTGTCCGACTGTGGCACGGCTGCATAATCCTGAAATCCCCCACGGATCCCGGGGGCACGGCCCACCCTGCGCATCCCTGCAGGGCAAGCCTTGGCCCTGGGCATGGCCCCCCACTCCCGCGTCGTTTCGGGGGCTGTAGTGAGGGTGCGATGCTCTCACCAAGCGCCTCCCCGGCGCGTTGGGAGCGGGGGGCCCTGCAGGGTGGCAGATGAGGGCAGATTTCTTGTTTTATCCTACTTATTCAGGTGGAAGGCACAAACATCGGCTGTTCCCTCTTTCCAGATCACACTATAGCCAGGGGTCCTGTGCTGT